TTATCGTAATGCATATATTGGTTTCATTATATATTTATTTGATGAAATTAAAGATGAAAATCATGAACCTTGTCAACTATACGCCATTAAAACTACCGACTTCTCTATCAGAGACATGCGCGCATATGCAGAAGTTTCATAAACCATAGTCTCAAGGACGATTCACAAAAATTCCAGACGATTTACAAACATACCACTTAATTCCAATGTGTTTGCATATCTAACACCGAAATTTTAATTTTTACATATGTGTCGTCTTACTGTTTTGAAATATATACTTTCTGGCATAAAAATGAAATGCAAAGAACACAAATAAACATAGATCGTTTACGTGATTCGATCCAACTGGATCTACATCCACGGGAGGGAATCAATCAAATAGTTCACTCTAAGGCAAAAGAAATGGAGAATACAGAGAATACATAGCTTATAATAGCTTATACATAGAGATGAGCCCTCATCTTCCTTCTATGGTCTCCCTCACAAGCGACATCTTGATACAAGGCCTCAAGATGCTCTCAACCTCTCTAGCTCTGTAGTTATTCTCTCCTCCTTTGTGGTAGCTTAAGATCTCTTCTCTTGCTCTCCTAGGCCTCACACCCTCTCTATTTATAGAAGCAAGAGAGTGGTAGGTGGGAGATAGGTGGGAGGGAGGTGGGAGGTAGGTGGGAGGTAGGTGGGCGGTAGCTGAGCGGTAGGTGAGATGTGATAGGTGAGCGGTGCCACTTTACAAAATTGTCATTTTACCTTAGTTCATTAATTGGGGGTCAAAATAATAATTCTTCACCTTGACCCTCAATTGAGAAGCTTCGAAGTAAAGATTCCCTCCACTTGGCCCCTCAGAGGGCCTCAGCCCTTGGTGAAGTTTACTAAGTCCAGACAGTGTCTGAACTTAGTTGTCGGTAGCACCTTGGTGAGCATATCAGCAGGATTTTCTTCAGTAGGTATCTTCTCCACTACTATTGAACCCTTGGCGACGACATCCCTCATAAAATGAAGCTTTATATTTATATGCTTGGATCTTTCATGAAATACCTGATTTCTAGTTAGTTGAATGGTGTTTTGGTTGTCGCAAAACACAGTTATCACCTTCTGATGTATCCCAAGCTCTTCAGTCATGCCTTTTAGCCATATAGCTTCCTTGATTGCTTCAGTCACAGCGATGTATTCAGCCTCTGTTGTTGAGAGGGCCACAACGGATTGGAGGTTAGACTTCTAACTGACTGCGGTACCGAAGACAGGGAAAATGAATCTGGTCAGTGACTTCCTGGTGTCAATGCTTCCTGCATAATCGGAGTTCACGTAACCAACTACCTTTTTTTCTTTGTCTTCCTCCCTTTTAAAGAGTAGAACAAGGCCTGTAATGCCTCTCAGGTACCTCAGGATCCATTTTAGTGTTTCCCAGTGAGTCTGTCCTGGGTTTGCCATGAACCTGCTTACAATGCTGACGGCGTAGGCAAAATATGGTCTGCTGCAGATCATCCCATACATGATGCTACCAACCCCGCTGGCATAAGGGACACCCTCCATGTACATTTTCTCATCTTCAGTCTCTGGTGCTTGAGAGTTTGACAATCTGAAGTGTTGGCCAATAGGTGTTGCAACCTGCTTAGTTTCATGCATGTTGAACTTTGCTATAAACTTCTGAATATATGACTTTTGAGACAAGAATAATGTGTCATTTTTTCTATCTCTAGTAATCTCCTTCCCTAGGATCTTTGTAGCAGGTCATAGGTCCTTCATGTCAAATTCAGAATTGAGCATACCTTTGATCTTCTGGATTTCCTCCCTACTTCTACTGGCTACTAACATATCATCCACATAAAGAAGCAAGTAGGTACTTATTTCACCGTCTTGCCACTTCATGTACACGCAACTGTCGTAGCTGCATCTGACAAACCCGATCTTTATCATGAACTCATCAAATCGTTTGTACCATTGTCCGGGGCTTTGTTTCAATACATACAAAGCTTTCTTTAGCAAGCAAACTTTGTCCTTTGTCTCAGGTGTGCAGTACTCATCTAGCTGATCCATGTAGATGGTTTTTTCAAGCTCTCCATGCAGGAACGCAGTCTTAACATCTAATTGAACCGCTAGTGCTAAGACTATCCTAATGGAGTAGTGCTTCACGACGGGCGAGAAGATTTTGTTGAAGTCGATTCCCTCCTACCTGAGTGAATCCCTTTGCAACGAGTTTGGCTTTGTACCTGATCCTCTCAATATCTGACGTGCCTTCCTTCTTCTTAAAGATCCACTTGCAACCAACCACTCGTTTGTTCTTTGGTCGATCCACAAGTTCATAGATTTTGTTCTTCATTAGAGAAGCCATTTCCTCATCCATTGCCTCTTCCAACCTGAGTCTAACCTGAGTCTTTCCTTGCTCTGCTCTTTAGGGCTTCCTTGTAGTTGCTCGGTTCTGCTTCTTCTATCTCTTCGACAACACTTAAAGCATATGAGATTATATCTACATGGTCGTATCTCTCTGGCGGTCTGATAGTTCTTCTTTGTCTGTCTCTTATCAAGTTGTAGTCATCAGATCTTCTTTCTGGCTCAATCACTTGCTGCTCCTCTGCCACTTCATCTTGATCGTTCACAACAGTTCTTTGATCTGTCAAAGTTTGTTGTTGTTGCAGCTCCACCTCAATTGAAGAATCCTTCTTGGTGATACTGTTTTTGGCAGCATGACTATACAGATTCGCCATTTTGAACTCATTGAATGTCACATCTTTACTGATGATGCATTTTCGTTGATCTAGGCACCAGAGTTTGTAGCCCTTGGTTCCAGGTGGGTATCCAATGAAAATGCACTTCAGGGCCCTTGCTTCCAGCTTATCCTGTCTAACATGAGCATATGCATGTCTAACATGAGCATATTCAGTACATCCAAAAACTTTGAGATTATCATAGTTACCTGGCTTCTTGTACCACATCTCCGAAGGTGTCTTCATATCAATAGCAGTTGATGGGCATCTGTTGATAAGGTAGCAGGCGGTTGACATGGCTTCACCCCAAAAACTTTTGGGTAGACATGCATTTAACAGCATGCACCTCACTCTCTCTAGGAGAGTTCCGTTCATCCTCTCAGCCAGGCCATTCTGTTGAGGAGTGTTCTGGACTGTCTTGTGCCTTGTGATTGCATTGCTCCTGCACAGCTCCTCAAACTACTCTGAACAGTACTCTAAGCCATTGTCAATTCTCAAGTACTTCAGCTTGTTTTCCATCTTATTTTCTATGACAGTTAGCAGTCCCTGAACCTCTGAAAGGCTTCATCCTTTGATTTAAGGATGAAAACCCATACCTTCCTGGTATAGTCATCTATGATGGACATGAAGTTGATCCCTCCTCCATGAGTCTGAGTTTGAAGTATCTCCCTCCTCCATGAGTCTGGCCCCCAGCTGGCCCCCATAGATCGTTGTGAACATAGTCAAGGGGTTTCTTTGATGAGTGAGTCCCGGTAGAAAACTTCACCCTGGTAGCCTTCCCCAAAACGCATTGTTCATAGAATTCCAGTTTGCTGACTCGATCTCCACATAACAGACTCTGCTTGGACAGTTCTTGTAAGCCTCTTTCACTTACATGCCCCAGTTTCATGTGCCATAGTCTGGTCCTGTCAGGTTCTGATTGAACTGCATTTGAGAAGTTGCCGATCACGGTTCTTCCAACTAGTAAGTATAGTCCATTCTTTCTGACTCCTTTCATGACTATGAGAGAATCTTTGAATACTTTGATGCAGTCATTCTCTGCCTTGAATGAGTATCCACTTGACTCCAGCGTACCTAGAGAGATCAGATTTCTTTTGAGTTCCGGGACATACCTGACATGCTGCAGTATCCTTTCAGTTCCAATGAACATCTTGATTCTGATTGTCCTGCTGCCGACTACCCTGCAAACTTTATTATCACCAAGTAGAACAAACACACCGTTCTCCAGCTGCAGTGACTCGAACCAGTATTTGTGGGGACACATGTGGAAGGAGCACCCTGAGTCAAGGATCCACTCCCTGCTGGATTCAGATTCTGTGATCGCCAGAGCTTCAGTTGAATCATAGCCATCTGAGGCTACGCTTGCCTCTCCAGAATCTCTGGGCTTCTTCTGAAAACTTTTCTTTCTATCCG